TTAGGGCGTGCACCCCATGTGGAGAGGCTGTGGTCCTCGAGGCAGCCAGCCCGGGTTCTGATCTGACCTGTGGCTCCTTTCCCGCATATCGTTCCCCGCTCTCTCTGTCCCTAATTTACAACTCTATCCACTGTCCTGTCTCTCCAATGAAGGCGCAAAAAGCCCAAAAGTAAATGTAAATAAAAAAAACAAAGAAAACCTACCTCGTGTATATTTATCCATCTGTCACATAACGACATATATTTTATTATCATGTCTATTTCAGCATCCTTCGCACTACCCATCACTGCATTATTTTCTCATCTAGTCTTGTACATATTAGTCTTTGTTTATTTTTTTTGTCAATATTTAATGTTATTCTTTTGTACATTGAGAGCACAGTTCACCCAAGTCAAATTCTATGTGTTGTGTAAGCATACCTGGCCAATAAAGCTGATTCTGAAATTAGTAGATAGTTACATTTGAATTGATATTCTGTGGAGTGTAAAAATATATATCTTCTTCATATCGCATGTAAGACACAGTTTTCCTCTATTAATAATTTTCACAATGACTCCTGCAGGACGATGTTGTTTTTTAGCTTCTTTTTTATCACTCACAGGCAATACCAACACAAACAGATTCAACTCCTCATAACCTGCTGACAGGAGGGCTGAAGGCTCCCCCGGATTACAACCGATTTCAACAGGTAGTCTTTATCATCAAACATATCTAAGATGAAGATTACTTGTTAGTAATTTACAGCAAATGAAACGTCTTTGTGTTTTCTTCCAGGCTCCCTCTGAAAGATCAGTGGATCTCCCCTCCTTCGTCCCTCCTCCACCTGTCAGAGTTGCTACAACTGTCTAAAATGTGATTTGATGAGTGTTTTGTTTGTGTAGCATTCTGTATATAGTCATTTTATTTTAAAATGTATGAGATTGTTTCTATATTTTTACAACAATTTTAACTAGGCCTACTTACATTTTTGGTGTCATATTTAATCCTGTGGAGATGGGACACTGTTTTACTTTCCTCCATGATATACAAAGTACAACTGCCATAATTTTTAAGAATATTTATTAATAATAAATCTAAATTCAAGCAATCCTGTAAGTGTCTTCTAGAGTTTCTCAAATCTTCTTTAAATCTGTTATCCTACTGTTCCTCTGGGTCTTTTTGGGCCTTATAGTGAAGTAGTGCACACTTTGACCTCTAGGGGGCAGTGGAGAAAACATGATGGAGTCCCCTTAAAAAAAGAGAATAATCATAAAGGGGTCCTATTGGGGGCCTTTCCAGTGGAGTAAATGGAAGGCCATATGTACCATGGTGTCCTTTTCTGTGAGTCTGCTGCTTGTCTGAGCTACAGTTTTACCCTGAAGAGGTCAAAATGAACAAATTAGACTGACATGTTTTGGCTTGTGGCCTTCATCAGGGTAAAGTTACATCCTGAAATACTTAATAAAAAAAAGCAAAGTAGGCCTGTAAGGGCTTAAGATCTTTATTGCTGTACTGAAATGATTGAATGATTCCTTACACTTATATATTTTCCTGAGCATGTTATACACAAACAACAGCAACTCGTCCAGTGATGCATGGCAGTTAGAAGCACTCTGAAGCTCAGCTGTTACATAATAACATGCAAAGCGCTTCCCTTTTTCACATTGAGGAGGCCCAGAATTGGTAATCGTAATCAACAAAATGAAGATGAAGATAGTAGGCGATGCCTTTAACATTAATTATCTCAGAGGAGGATCGTTAAAGCATGTTGGCTTCAAGAACAGATCACAAACTCTGACAGGGAAAGTGTTTCAGGCACCAAAGTACTCAACATGAGCAGTGAGGCAGATGTTGCCAACTTAGGGCAGCAGATGGTGCTATTATGCAGCACTTCATACATTTGATCACATTATGATTTGGACAAGAGAATGAGACAATGGAAATTTACTTTTGTCTCTTTAGAATATTGTATATGTTATATCTGCACCTATTTTTCATGACTTTGTTCAAATGAAAAGCTGCCCCAGTATCAAAGCTTATATGTCACAGGGCTGGATACACTGTAAACTGATCATAATAATACAAGTAAATGTTAATAAGTTAATTGTGATTTCTGATTCTTTAAGAGGTTTGCGTGCATCATCTGTGAACATTAAAGTAAAAGAGGAGTTTGTTTTTCATTCCATGAAAAAGAACAAATGTAATCGTGGGTGTTCAACCTGCACTTGGAGGAAGTGATGAAAAGAGGAACCTCTCGAGCTACTTTTGTAAGATGTGAAGTAACAGATGAAGTGTTGAATATCCAGCGGATAAATAATGTTAACCTCATCAGGATATTTTTATACCTTCTTTTTTTTCTCAATGTCTATCTCCATGTTTAAGTGCAGAACATTGGCTCAGTTTGGTCCAAAAAGACCCCACTTTGAACCATTTGTGATAATGTAAATGGCCTGCCAGCCATTTCCTGTAGAGCAATATGAAGGTTGTAGTTACAAATTGTCATAACAACATAAATGACGGCTTTCTGTCTTTTGACATTACCGTGCTCAATGAGAACTATCTTCAGCACTGCTATATGACTTTGTAGAATCATGAAACTCATATGCCAACATAATGAGCTAAACTCTCCAAATGATATTCACACACATCTCTAGTAAAACACAATGCTTTTTTAAAACACTTTATTTTAGTTTAGGATAAGAGACAGTGCTAATGCTTGTCAGTTTCTTTATGTTTTGGATCACCAACAGGCAAGTGTTGAGGACCGTTGTACCTCAACAAAAAAAAAAACAGATGATGAAACATCCTCCACCACATTCAGCCTCAAAAACAACAGGTCTTGTTCGTGCTTCTCATGAGCTCTACATTGTGGGAAGTCTTTATTACACAAATGGGGAAGTTGAAATGCAAACCTAACACCTCAAAGGCTGTTTACAGTTTAGAGGCAGTGTGGAAATTGTACAAGTTGAAAAATAGAATTAAAAGGAATACAAAAAGCCCTTTTTTCTGCATCTCAATGGAAATAGGCTTTTGACTTTAACAAAAAATAAATCTTCAGCAGTATCTGGGTAAAATGCTGTTTCTTTTTGCATTATCTGCAATTAAAAACAATTGTATTAGACAAAAAGCTTTCCATCCTTTTCGAGGCATTACTTTAAAAAAAAAAAAAATCTTGAAAGGATTCTAAGACAATTTGATCAATAAAAAGGTAATTATTGTTCAGGTGTCAAGATAGTAGAGTTCTTTAAGAATTAGCAGTTATTTTATTTCTAATTTTTCCCCCCTCAATGAATTAATCCATTTGTGCAACTATGAATGTTCTGACAAAATTTGCAACCCTTATAAATCATGTTAATGTCTACTTTATACCTCGCAATGGAAATATAAATATTGTTAATGCTTGAGGCATAGAATCTTTCAGGGTAATGTTTGCGCAATGTGGTTACCTATTAAGGTTGAACATGTATCGCTCTCGCTCTGCATGCAGTGTGTAAATTTATCAAGCTCCTCTTTGGTCATGTCTCTGTTCTAAGCGTGTGTGTGGGTGTATGTGTGTCCCTCTGACCACACCCCGTCCCCACTGAAAGAAAGTGTGCGCTTCAGCATGTTCCATTGACCGCTGCAGTACTGCAAGCCTTTGCACATCCACAGTTCCAGAACGCCTCATAGAACAACAGACATGGACTGTAGAGCAGCGGCCTCTCGTCCCACACAGTCCCCCTTCCCCCAACACCATCACCCCTCCCTCCCCAATCCCCTGACCCCCCAAAAATACTCCCATGTAGTTCAGTGTAAAAGAGTCACGTGACATGTGGCCCACCAGCTCAAGTGCATTTGTTCTGTGCTGATTGTTTTAAAGGATTTTGCCTCCATCGACAGAAAAGTGGAGGGGATAACTTTTTGGAATTCAGCCTAGGGCTTCCTCTTTGACGCTCACTCCTGGCTTGCGCTCTCTCTCTCACTCTTTCCCTGAGGAGAGGCTGATACTTAAGAGGGTTGACCTATCCTGAGGAATTCAGGTAAGATGATGTTAGATATTTGATTAATTGCTGATGCACCTTAAAGCAAAGGAATTAGGAGTTAGGAGTAAAATACTTAAGTGGAATGAATATCACGGCGCGTTAACCGAAGTAAATCTCACAGGTGGATGTGGAAGGCCTTTGCAATGGTATCAATGTGCCTGCGTTGAATAAACATCTGTTAAACTTGCAAAGGGTGCCGCAAGGTATTTTGGGCCCCATGAAGAAATAAATATAATCAAATGATGACAAAGAATGCACTAATCTTCTTGTATTTTTAGGGCCCCTGTCAGTCACAGGCCCTTCAAATCATCTTAACCCTTTTCTTCCTTAGAAAAATGGCGCCCCTGTAGATCTGAGGTTAACTTTTCAAAATCTCTCTTATTACGGTATTACCAATTGATGGTTTTGACTCTACCAAGACAAGATATATCATAATTTCTTGAGATTTTCTGTTGAATTTTACCTTCAAGGTTTATCTGCTTCCTCTCAATAGTACAGAAAACTGTGTGTTGTTCAAAACCTACACCCAAGACTGTGTATGATGGATGATGGCTTACTGCAGTGTTGACACAGCTTGCCACAGAAGTTTTGCATGTTCTACTTTGAGTATATTATGGATGAGTACAGTCTTTTCACAAACATGGTTTAGCCTTTTATCATATGTTCATCTCAAATGTAAAGACAAAGATCCAATTTAATGTTCTTAGTATGAAATAGAATCATCTCTCTCAACATTTTGACTTGTTTGCGAGGTCAGCGTGGCTATTTTCAAATGGGGTTTCTGTGTGGTCAGACTTTAAACATAAATATGAGCAGCTTGTGGTTGGTATGGTTGCTTTGACCAGGGCAGCAGCTCTAATCTTGAACTCAGTGCATTATTGTTGTTACAGCCAAATAGACGGTGATATGAGTTTATTAATACAGACATTAGCTGTAGCATCCTCCTCGCGTGTCTTCAAGCAGCAGCTTTATTTTAAGAGGAACTTCTGGCTCTTTGCCCCCATTACAAACAGTCTAGAAGACGGAGTTGCCTTTGAGGAAGTTTAGGTTTAAGGTTGCCTAAAAATGATGCTTAGGGAAGTGGTCTCTCTGCCGGTAAGAAGATTTCATCTCTGCTTAGTTAAACAAACCAGAAAGTGTAAAGAATGTCTCTTTATTATATTCTTACATCATGCGGCCCTATCTTTAGCTCAGAGATAACCCCCCTTTTTTAAGCTCAAGATGATGCTAGCCAAAATTACAGGAGACTTAATGCATTTGTAAGTCTTCTCCTACCTCAACATTCATTCCTTCAGACTGTTACTTTTGTGTACTCACATCAAGCTAAAGCTACAAACTCCTTGTGGAAATAAACCATTTCTTTACTACTGGATTACTCACACAACCAATTCCTTGTTTGTTTCTTTCTTTCTTTTTCGCACAGTGCATAAAGCCTTAACCGCTGCCATAGTGTCACTCATGATGTACAGCTTCATGGGAGGGGGCCTATTTTGTGCCATCGTGGGGAACATCCTGCTGGTGGTCTCCACAGCCACAGACTACTGGATGCAGTACCGTCTGTCTGGCAGCTTTGCTCATCAGGGCCTGTGGCGGTACTGCATGTCTGGAAAGTGCTACATGCAGACTGACAGCATCGGTAAGTAGGCAAAATATCTCCCTGGACCCTTAAAAAATGTCCCATGTTTCCCTGAGGCACAGTAACTCTACCCAGAATCAACAGAATCTTAGAGGTCAAATAAATTGATTTTTTTTTTCCAGATACTTTTTAAAGAGCTGACAGGAAGACAAGTGTATCAGAAACATGAATTCAAATTTTTTTTACTCGAAACAATCTGCCTGTTTAGTGGCTGTATTTAGAGACAACTTTAAGTGAAATGCTAATGTTAGCATGCTAACATGCTCACAATGACAATGAAAACATTTACTCAATCATATGGGCATGGTTAACTTTGCTTTGTTAGCATTAAACACAAGGTAGAGCTAAGACCAATAAGACTGTTATGTTTTTTAGGTGATTCTTCGCAAACCAAAATGATGAAAGAATTACAAATTGAACCTGATGATGTAACAAGAAAAGTCTCTTCCATGGTGAATGGATTGCACTCACATAGCCTAGTTCTTTTCTAGTCTCACAACAACTCAAGCTGCGATACATGACCACAATCATTCTTTCTAACACATTCATACACAAACAGCTGTCATGCCATCACCAAAGGTTTTTAATTTCCCTTAAGCTGCATATTATTATTACTATTTATTTATGTATTTATTGAATAATGACAGTATGCATTAATCAACATATCAGCAAATTGCATCGTTGTAAATATGCCGGAACTAGCACAAAAGCTAAATTGTATCTGTAGTCCTAAAATGGGTACTTCCAAAAAAGAAACATAAAACAATATAAAATATGGACAATGAACTATTTTTCATGGCAACCCAAGACGGTTTTTCATTTAATGGCAAACCATCCTAAAGAAGCACAAATACTTTAGCCTGAACCAAAATGGCAAACTGATGATTTGCCCTCCGTGGTTCTGTAAAATGTGGCTGAAAAATTAAAAACTAGGGAATTTATATTACAAAAATTAGAGAAATGTGACCTCCTAACTTCACTTTAAAGAGGACATATTATTCCCCTTTTCCACCTTTTCAAACAGTTCCCTGTGGTCTAAAGGTTTGTGACCCTGTATAAACCAGTTCTCTCAGAACACTCCGTTTTGGTGTGCGTGTCTCTTTAAATGCAATGAGCCCCCCCCTGAGTTTTCCCCGTAGACATCACTCCTTTGTTAGCGAGAATAAAAATGGTGGTCCTGTGCAAAAGTTTTGCTCAAGGCTGGGGGTGGAGTCCATGGGTGGAGATACCAGGGGAGGTGAGGGGATTTTTTTAACCAGAATCCCACTGTGATGTCACAAGGAGAGCAAATTTGAAATGCAGCATTTTTCTCTGTGTTGTTAGACTTATGCAGACAACAACCAAAGGACTGGAAGGGTTTATTTCACATTTTGTGGGTCGGCAGACACTCAGGTTACCCAAATTTATGTTCAAAAACACTATAAAAGTGGATTTTTCATAATATGTCCCTTTAAGTGATAATTGTGATTTCTACTCCCATTTATTCCTCCTTTATATGTCATGTGTAAGTGTGAAATGAAATGTTGGTACAAAGAAATGTAGAGTCCAGATAATGTATTATAGAGTCTTAAAAAGAGGAACATTTCCAAAGCAACAAGTGCCAGGTTGTCTGAAGTTGGACACAAGCCTGCTAACTCCCTGTAGCAGAGACTATAGAGCTGTAACTGTCTCTGCGGCTGCCAGAAAAACAGTTATAAACAAACCCAGAGAAGTTCCAGTGAAATGAAAGGGAGCACATGTAAATCAGGACCTTTAATGTACAACTGTTATCATTGGTAAAACCATGACTCACTCCTCCACTCATGATGTAACAGTTTGAACTCTGTTATAGTTGTCTTGTTATAGTTTTTATATGTATTTTTTTGTTTTCTCCCTTCTTTTACTCGCCCTCAGCCTACTGGAACGCCACTCGAGCCTTCATGATCCTCTCTGCCATGTCATGCTTTGCTGGCATCATCGCAGGAATCCTCTCCTTCGCCCACTTCTCAGCCTTTGAGAGGTTTAATCGCTCTTTTGCTGCCGGGATCATGTTCTTTGTTTCAAGTAAGTCATGGATACATTTACCTCATAATGCACTTTTGTCCCCCTATCTGCCTATGTACAGTATTGTCAAGCAAATTTGCATGTCATACATCTCCACAGGAAAAAAAAGTGCCATAGAAACTCTGCTTTGATGTCATATTATAGCAGAGTTAATAGATATTACAATCATTAATTTGAATACCTGTCTTTCTCTATCGACCATGCCAGCTCTATTTGTTCTGCTTGCAATGGCCATTTACACCGGGGTGACTGTGAACTTCCTGGGCAAGCGCTTCGGTGACTGGCGCTTCTCGTGGTCCTACATACTAGGCTGGGTGGCACTGCTCATGACCTTCTTTGCAGGTTAGTTCAAATAAAGCATTGCAGCAGAGTTGAGTGGTATTACTATGTGGTGCTCCTGATAAAATAAATCAGCTTGAATACTTAATTAACCAGAAAACAGTTATCCTAAGCTGTAGAAAGAAGCTCATATTTCAAATTCTTACAACAGCTTTGTTAAATTAAAAAATAATTCTAAAACCACCAGTACAATTCAGTCATATATACTTTTATTTTCAATATATATGTGGCAGCTATTTACGAGTTGATACAGTCTTATCAGCTTAACACTCTTATACATAGAAGTATAGCTTGTCATTATGAAAGCAATAGTTTTGAAGTCCTGTTAACAGGTTTTAATGCATTTCTGTTTTGCAGGAATATTCTACATGTGTGCCTACAGAATGCATGAGTGCAGAAGAGTGGCAGGCCCTCGTTAAATTCAAGAGGAAAGAATTTGAAAAGGATGCAAAGGTTATCAAGAATATCAATCCCCCTTCAAAAATAAGATAATTTGCTGTAAAATAATAAAATTTTGAAATATGCATATGCATAGAACATGTGTTGTGGTTTTGTCATCAGAGTACTTTGTACATTTTTGGACTGGGAAGTATGTCAGAAATAGTTTTATTAATGAACAGAGGTGTAAAAGCAATATTCACAGCATTACACAGTAATATATTTATAATATTCAGTACACTAATAGCATTGAATCTAATGTGTGTACAGATGTTGCTTTGAAATTGTATGCAAGACTCAGCTAGAGCTTGTGGCCTGTCTCTGTAGCTTTGGAACACTCTTCCTGAAAATGGACTTTTCACTTGTGCAGTGGAAAGCGGAGGATGAAAAGTAGAAGATGATGGGGTCAATGCAGGTGTTGAAGGTGCTAAGCAGCAAGGTGTAGTACCTCCATTTTGGGCTCTTACCCTGGAAGAAACCCAGTACATGGGACATGTTGTATGGCATCACACAAATGAGAAACACAGCTAGGGTACCCAGGGCCATGCCGATGGCCTTCTGCTTCTGCTTCTGGGATATCCGCGGACGGCTGTACAGGAGGAAGATGCAGCTCAGGTAGCAGTAAAGACAAACGAGAAGAGGTATAAGGAAGAGCACAATGAAAAACTCCAAACGCACAGGAAGGAGGACCTCCAACTGCTTCTCTGTGAAGTTGTCATAGCACGTGGTTGAGTTTCCATTGGACAGGGCTGGATGGTGCTCGATAACGACAACAATGCTGCAGTGCATCCCTGATATGAGCCAAATAACAGCACTGGTAACTATCCCGTACACAGGTTTGTGCAACTTATGGTAGGTGATAGGGAAAGCTACTGCAATGTAACGAACCACACTGACAGCCATCAGCAGCAGAGAACTGGTGTAGATAGTGGCGAAGAAGGTGAAGGAGGTGATGGAGCACATGAATAAAGGCAAAGTCCATGTCATTTTTGAAGCTGCCTCGTGCATCTTGAAAGGAAGGATGATCAAAAAGAGCAGGTCAGAGACGGTCAGGTTGATGAGCAGGATGTCTGTGGGAACAGGCTTGGAGCGGATCTTCACACTGAAGGCATAGAGAGCCAGGAGGTTTGCTGGGAGGCCGATCAGGAAAGAAATGATGTAAACTGAGAGAATGACCGTGCTGTCCACCACTGGCTCCATTCTGACCAAAGGAAAAAACACACACGCCTACTTTAAAGGGATGAACACGGACAGATGGTAAAAAATGAAAGCTACACTTTATTTTCATTCAAGTAGAAGTGGTGATAAATGAGTGACGTTTGTATGTTTTCAATGCCTTATTGGCAGAGGTTAGAGGGGAATGCATTCAAATATTGCTGGAATCGTGTTAATTCTTAAGTCACAAAGTCAAGTATTACCAACATTGAAAGTCTAATTAAGCATCCACAAAGTAAAAACAAACCATTGTGCTGTTTAGGCGAATTATGTGTGGGTGGGGACGCTCACATTTTGATTGACACGTGACAATCTGTGTATTGTAACAATAACATTATGTTATAGTGGTCTGAGGGAGAATCAAAGGAAGGAAGCTGGAGCTCTGCCCTCAGAAGATTATTAAATCAAGTTGCTCTCAGAATGGTGATTCACAAAATGCTCTGCTCTCCAAATCATTAGCAGCTATCACACATGCATGCATTTATCTAATTCTCGATGCTGTCTCTGTAGCTGGTGCTGTATTATTTCAGAGCTGAGCTCCCCCTGCCAATGCTCTACTTCGACTGCAAAACAAAGATAACAGTCCACTCCAGCAGCCAATTAAAGATGCTTATAGGGGCGCGCTGGAGGCGCAATGGTTAGGGCGCGCATCCCATGTATGGAGGCTCTCGTCTCGAGCGGTAGGCCCGGGTTCGCTTCCACCTGTGGCCCCTTTCCACATGTCATGCCCCGCTCTCTCTCCCTGGTTTCCAACTCTGTCCACTGTCCTCTCTCTGCATTAAAGGCACAAAAAGCCCAAAATAAATCGTAAAAAAAAAAAAAAAAAAGATGCTTATAGATGATCAGGGAGAGAGAGAGTTGGGAATGACATGTGGGAAATGAGGGTTTCAAACACACACCGGCCACTCGTGTCACATAGCCTCTGTACACAGGGGCACGCTTACGTATCACTAGGCTACCAGCGCCCCCATCAGCTGCCACTTTTATCTTCACTTTGCCCAAGGACAATGCTAATGCGCAAAAAAAGCCAAATATCTAGAAAAGGTTACACAAATTTAAATGACAATGTTTCGGTTTTGGACTGGTGACTCAGATCTGATATTCTTTTGTTAAAATTAAACGGCACAGGAATTTGATCTATTCAAATCAGGTTTGGGCCGCTTTGATATGTGGATACCCACAGGAGTCTGACACAGGCCATATTTTCGAAAGCAATGTGAACAGCCAAACAAACAAAAAATCTTATCGAAGCAAAAAATCAGAATTGATCATTAAGCATCCCAGTGTGAATGCAGCCTTAGTTACCTTGATGTTGGCCACATGATAGCCCCATAGCAAAAAGTACACTTGGTATATGCCATCACTCCCAAGTCTAATGACAGTTCCAAAGCTTATACTTAACAGATAATACCTAAAACAGTCTCTCACAGACATTTTTTTTGGTTAGTTTAATAATCAGTGTGTTTTTTAACCAGTATCATCTTTAAGCTTTTGCTCAGCAACCTTGTACATACGTTTAAATCCAACACTTCTCTCTTTTACATGAGAATGATCAAGTTAATTATGAATATGGCTCAGATTGCACGACAATTCCAAACCAGTTAAGCTATAGTCTGCTCTCAAGCTCTGCTTCTACACACCAGATGTCAAAATCAATTTACATAATGATCAGAAATGTTAGAAATTATAAGGTAAACAGTTTTACTCACCTGGATTTGGATGTTCAAAATACGCTTTAGAAAGAAACTAAAGCTGCCTGTTGTTGTCCTTGCCGTGCCTTTCTAACTGGTTTCTAACTTGGGAGTTCAAAGATGACCTGACATAAAATGTAATAAACCGGAGACAGTGAGGGATATTTAAGCCCTGTGAAACACACTGCTCTATCTGTTCTTCAGTGACCAGCCAGAACATCATTTGGTTTTATTTAATGAAATGCAAATGAAGCTCATGTTGACTTTTCTATTAGTTTAACAAAAGACCATCTCCCACTAGATCTCTGCTGGAAGGCACTCTAAACATTATAATCAGGTTTGGATCAGGCATGCATTCTCTTCAAAGTTACGCCTACACAATAAGATTGTCTTCAGTTCAGATTAATGTTTTTTACACATGGATATTCTATGTAGCACTTATTCTATGTTGTTGCAGTGATTTTCAGGTGGCAGTACAGCAATATACAGTATATTAATCTTAAATCCACAGAAGATCTATTTTCTGGTCCCTGGGAAAAACTTTAATACTGTTTTCTCTTGGTCAACTGATTAACTTAGTTTTCTACTACACTGCAACTGGAGATAAACATTGAGTCCTGTACTCTAAAGTAATTCAACTTGTTTTGATAACCCAAGATGATAAAGATGTGTTCACGATAGCTTCTGACTTGTAACTTGTTGCATAAAGAAAACTGTACATCCCTAACAGTAAACGATTGCTGCACTGAATTAAAGGCTACTGTTATAAGCTTACCATGTTACCATCTGATCAGCAGTTTACAGTAGATAATCCTCCATGTAGCCATGTCCCATCCTGTGGGAAGTTATCAGAATTAGAATCAGAATCAGAAATACTTGATTAATCCCGGAGGGAAATTTGGTCAAAGTATAATTCGAATATTTATGAATTATGTGACTTGAAATACATGGCACTGTTGCAAAAGGGTATTCTAGAACAATATTGTGATTCCATGTGTTGTTATGCTTAATGATTACTTATCTTGGCTATATTTCTAAAATAAGTTGTTTTTTTTAAGTTTTATACTTCTCACCTTTCCTAGTGGCTCTTCTGTGACCTCTCCACTGGGGGCTGTAGCGTTGTTCTCCTGCTTCTTGGCTCTGGATTGTCGAATTTCTTCAACAACACAATTGTCATAAACGCAGGAAAGTGTGTCCTCCTCAGGGTCGCTCTCTGGTCTGCCTGTGTTTGATTGTGTTTCCTCAACTTGCACTCTAATAGAGAGAGAGAGAAGAAGAGGGAAATAAGGAGAGATCCGATTAGCTGTTTAATAAACGTTTTTGTAAGCATATCAAATCCCTGGAACTTCGATTTCTGGCTTGTTTGAGAGAAAGAATCAAAAAGGCAACTAAAAGGTATAAAAAAAAGAAAATCTGATTTCCTTTTTGTTCATAGTGACACAGTTTTCTTTACCTTTGAGGACACTGGTACCTCTGTTCCTCTTGGATAGTCTCTGGTAAACTCAGCGGTCTTAAAGAAAGATGCATTACTATTATTTGAATTCACTACATTTAAAATGAATATAGGTCTAGTTAAAAACACAAAACATACCTTAAAAGAAATGAAGCATTGGACAAAGAGCCAGGTGATGATCTGAGGATGACATAAATACAATAAAAAAAGTATTCACAGCAGCAGACATTATGTTTAACAAGGACTAAAGTCTGCTAACCTGAGTTGAGAATATTTTATGTAAATGCCGACTGCACACAACAAAGCAATACCAACAAGGAGCATGACAGCCACCAACCACATGGACAAAGACGCTGTTAATGGAGAATGGATGAATAAGTCAATGTGATAGACAAAAAACAAAAATGCTTAACTGATTTTGGATGCATTCATGGAAAATCAACGGTAAGAATCTCGAGCATGACCAGACTTACATGATTCTGACAAGTGTAAATCAAGTCGTCTGGTGTCACTGCCCAGGGAGTTAGTGGCTGTGCAAGTTACATTAACCTGGCTTTCAGCTGGGCCACTTAATTGCCCAGAGGTGACATGTTTCTCATTTGTAAAAACAAAGCTGAAGGAGGATGAGAAGGTGTCATTTCCATTAATGGTCCAATGTATAGAGGCATCAGGGAATGCCTCAGCCTGACAGACACACTTCAGAGCCTCCCCTGTCAGGTAGCAGGAGGACGCAGGTAGGATTATTGGGGCATCTAGATAGGGGGAAAAAAACAACATTATTTAGAAATAATGAAACCCGTCTGGTACCATGATTGCCTGTATGAATTTTGAAAGTAAAGCTAAGCTATGATTGATTTTTTTGTAGATACAAGGTTTACCCCTAAGGAGCAAAAATGGCCGATTACTTTTATATGAAACTATATATTTGAAGGCGGATTTGCTTAATGGACAGAGCTTTGTTTGAGGTTACTGGTTATCTTCATAATATTACATTTATAGCATAATTAACTTTGATTGTTCTTTGTTGTTGTTTTATTTTGTTTCTTCTGAGTTCCTTCCTTTATTAACTGAGCCCAATCAGCCATTTACATATTATTTTAAAGAATAAGCAATAATAAATTGTAGGCTAATGGGCAGGCTGAAGTCAATGTTTAATTTTCTTACTTTCCCCTATCACCCTGTTAGATTTTCAAAATAACTTAGTAGGCTACCTCCTAATAACTATAGTCTATGGCTACCTCTTAACTTTGCTAAAGTTTGAAGGAAAATGTGACTTAATCTTTATAGCCTATTTGCACATTATCAGGCCAGTTAGAAAAACATCCAACTCTTAACAATAAAACAAGTGCAAATGTGTTTGATTTGATATTGAAGCAGCATTTCACTATATCAATCACTTATCCTCTTCTAGTTGAATAGATAAATACATAATACTTTAAAACATGGTATACAATGAGAAATTCTTAAAATCTCATATGTGTACAGGGTAGGCCTACTAACAATAGACTCTAAAAGTGGTACTAACCTACTGCAGTAGCGGAAGGATATAGTGACATGGTTGTTATGCGGTCCTGCGGTGTTACGTAGTTCATTCGGAAGATTTGCAGTTACTGCACTGTTCGCCTAAATTGCTTCAGACATTGGACTATCCTTTCACATCCATATTCCTGACCTGCAGTCTATGTTCCTGATGCTGATCCTGTGTTAACCCGTTTTAGTAATGCCAGGCTCTTAGCATACATGGAGTTTAGACGAGTGCAACAACTGAGGGAAATCAACCAGAACACTTTCCCGGTCGACGCAATCAACCTTGGTCCTGACCGTCCTGATTAGAGATGCCGCCTCTTCGGCCATTTTCCTCGGAACTTACTAGTGAGGTAGTGCCGGAGCGTCGCCATAGCAACCACCAACCTTTGGCAGGCATTGCAAGTGCTGAGGACTGTTGTTTACCATGGAAAACTCCTCTTAACCCAGTGGAAATTAATTGGTAAGTCATGTTTCAATTTTTAAACCAATAGTATTATTTTGCATTACAGTCGGTGCTACTTGTGAATATTACTTACTGTTTTTTGTGTTTGGGCTTTGCTTACTATCGTAAAGTTGTTAAGTAATGGTTGCTCTTGTTTGGTGTCAAAGCTGTGTTTTTTCTGTTTGATTGTGCTAATAAATCTCACCGCCATTACAGTGAAGGAAACAGAATGAAAAACATTTATTTACGTTGAACATCCAGATCCAACCAGTCAGACTGTCCCGCTCCAATGTCATTGAGAGCCATGCAGGAGATAGACGTTTTTCGTGTGATGTTGTTGAAGAGTAGTCTTCCCCGTTTTGTATTTGACTTGATGTTCTGACCCATCTGTCTTGTGAACCACGAGTATGTGTGTGGACGTGGGTTAGAGTTGGCGGCACACTTCATGATGACGCTTCCCCCATCTATTACAGAGTCATTTTCTGCTGTTAGGGTCACATTAACTGGTTTATCTGTGGATAAAGGAGGACATACTTTTAGAAAAGTTAGTTCTGTCATGTACAGAATTTTAATGTAGTAGACTTTATCCCTTACATAAAATGTTGAGAATTACTGGTTGACTGTCTATGGTTAAGTCGCTGAACACTGCAGAGCAACCCATTTTGCTGTTATGCATTTCATATGTTGCTAGCCCATACACGGTCTCTGTGTACAACCATAGCATATTTTCTTTCTCGTTGGAAGCCTTTAAAGTGGAGTTATTGAGAAATTGATTTTGTATCCATTTAAGGGATGGAGTTGATGAGGGGCAAGAGTGGATAAGGCTGCAGTTAGCCTGGAAAACGTCCCCCTCCACTATTTGCTTCTCAATGGAGATTATTGGAGCTTTTCTTTCTGAAAGTCAAAACAAAGTGTTGCAAGTAAAAAAAACCTTTTAAATATAGAGATTTGAATTTAAATGTATTCCATAATTTATAGAAATCAAGAAGCCTATAGGGTGGTTAGGACATTCTGGTTAATCATAAAATCTGTTAGGTAGAAAATGAATGGGATTTTCCCTCAGGAATACACTGTTGAGCTCTATTATATTGACACATTTTAAAGAATTCTTAAACCTCCCTTTCACCAAATTTTTCCATCTGGCTGCTTATTCTGCTGTTTTCATAAATTAAAAAAAAATTAGATAAATGAGAAGTTTACAAATACTTACCAACATAGACCGTAACAGTTTGATCATAGAATTTCTGACTTGTTATTGAGTCTGGATTGATCCACACATAGACTTTAAGGTTGTTGTCTGTTCTTCTTATATTTTTAATCGTCAGGGTGCAGTTACCCTCTGTGGCTGCTCCCTTTACTGAGGTGCGTCCTCTGAACTGTTGTTCCACTGTAGGAGGATATCTGTCATACACCACAGGATAATACATCTTACTGTATTGATACCAGGTGACCCGGACATGAGCTTTTGTCTGACATGGTACCACAGCACAGCTCCCCTCCACTGCAGTCACTGTTTTAGGTACAGTGATGTTCCAGCTTCTCACCTGCTGCAGCACAGAGAAGCCTTTGTGTGGGGGAGAGGAGGAAGAGGAAGGGAGGGTGAGTGGGTTAGCAAAGTTGACAACAAATGTTAGTTGTTCAGTAAGTTAATGCTTTTCCGTGATCACTAAGAAAAGTATGTGTTATGCAACAGGATACTCATGCAAATCTTCAGTGAGAGATGATTTTGAAAGCTGAGTTTGCTGCAGTATTTACAGCTATATGTCATACCAAAAAAACGTTTGGGATTATGGTTGTCGCGGGGCGGGTAAATGTTTGATCAAAAAGTCATAAAAAACTAAGCTGAGTATGAAGCACGTTTGATGTAGCCTAGCTGCAGCTACTTTTCCCTGCTCCTCTCTCTGCTGTGATGACCGTGAGCATCGTGGGGCATGCTGAGGCACACCAACGCGTGCACCTGTTTACTTCTAGTGCTTCAGCAAACAGTTGATCCGTAATCCGTAGGCCTACGGACTAGGGGTGTGCACGTGTAACCGGTTAGTAAATCATAACTATTTTTTTTTTTTAATCATTTTAAAATGTTTTAGAGACACACATTCAATCATCTCTGATCAAAAATAACACATACTATTTATTTAGAGATGATTAAAGCTACAAATGTTCCACTTTGACAACGTTACTGCGCTCACAAATGCTCGTGATAAATGTTGGATAACTGACCACCAGGCATTACGTCACGTAAAGTTTCACTTCTGACTTGCGAAGTGCGGCGTGGAGGAGCCGCACTCCTGGGGATTGGCTCTGGTTCCGGGCGATTGTTTGGACGTGCCTGTGCGGGTTCTGGCTTTCCATGTCACCCTTTCGCAGCGGCGGTAACCAGTTGAACGTAAGTCTGTGAGCCTCTCTCACCCCCGTCATCGGAGTGGGATATTAAGCCACACTCCTTTCCCTTTTCCCAGCCGCACGTCTATTTTATTTTTTTTATTTATTTATGGCTGTGTCTGATTAAAATGACTTAAAATAAGCTTCAAAGTCGGTAAAGTAGCTGTAATGATCTGTGTTTTTCTCTGATGTGCAGACACGGACTCGACTGCGCGTCTCTTTTTCTCTCTCCTTCTCCTCCTTCCGCCCCATTCCGCTTCGTCCGGGTAGGGGGGATTGCGCAGTCCCAAGGGTCAGGAGAGGAATCTTTCTGAAAAGCGGCCGCACCTTCCATTGGTTGTGTAGCGCGATTGCGGTTCACTGTTTTTATTATTTTTATTTGTATTAATTAATAAAAATTTTAAAAAACGGTTAACCGTGTACACAAAAAAAATGACGTCGTGTAGCCGTTTACAACCGTTCACACCCCTACTACGGACCGAGTCGGGAACACACGTGTTCCGGTCATACGGTCGGTTTGACTTTTCTCCGTTCACTCTCACAGTGTCTGCAGCTAACTAAACTATAGGAACATCATAAGTCTGTGAACATCTCCACACAGACTCAAACAAACTTTTTTTTATTTTGGCCAGTAAAAAAATATGTTTGGCCCGTGAATTTGTTCATCTACCTGCCACCTTGGCCAGTGAGTCAAAAAATTAATTGCGGACCCTGCTCAGGCTCAGACGGACACAATGGCAACTGCACTGATACCTAAACCAAATGGGTGGATCCCTGTGGTGGAAATTCCTTCACCCGGCAGCCCTATTTGGCAGTACTTCTTTCAATATCAGAAAAGCTATTTGTCATGATGTCCATGATAAAACATGTTCTTAGATGGTTTAGTTCTGAAACATAACCTCACCAAAGTAAACAAATTACAATGTTCTTATAATCGTGTCAATAATAATGAAGGTAGTCCAAACAGGTCTGATAATACACTAGACAGCTCGGCACCTCAGGGACTAACAACATGCTCGCGATTAATCAGAAAATATACAATAGATACATTTGAAACTGTAACTATACAAAATAGAAGTTGGATCAGAAACGATTTAAATAGGATAAGTTATCTTTCAATGATTGTGTGGTTATTGCAATAAAGTAATCAACAAATAAATAATTAAAATATATAAATATTGTTTGAAATTGAGAGCATTACTGATTTAAAGCAGTTTTTCCCTGCCTTTTCCTTTTTCCCCCCTTGACTTCTGTAGTTTAGTGCAATCCTTTTTAAATGACTCATAAAGGTTTTTAATGCAAGTTTAACCATTTACAGAACCAGATGCACTCAAGTGTAAAGCTCCGTATTACCTGTAATCAAGCTTAAGAGTCCAAGTAGATAAGTAGTCCCCATGGTGAAAGTAGTCACTGTGCACCGTTCAGCTAGTCACCTTTTGTCCTGTAAAATGTTTGAAACACAACAGTCATATCCATGTTAGATTAACATATCTTGTTAAAATTAATTTACATTTGTACTGTGTCTTAAGCAGTGTTGAAAAATGATCAGAATATGTTTAATGCTGCCTCATACATCTTAGTGACTACAAGTTTTGGATCGTGAAATACCTCAAGTTCTTTCAGGTATAGTTTAAAAACGTCCACAAAGATTATATATACACTAGGTGTACACTATTATCCTGGATCTTTTAATCATAATATTTGTTGAAAAATAGATTTAAAAATCTGGAAAATACTCTCTAGATCAATTCATATCTCTCTTTGAGTGACAGAAACATTAGGACTTTCAGTACCTTGCCAGATGAGCTGCTGCCTGAATGTGTCTGTGATGGCCCAGTGATCTGTTACAGTCCTCAAGTCTACCACTAACCACTACTTAAGCCCCTGACACCCCCTTTGCTCTATTCAGTCATAAACAGGAAACTTGCTGAGCTCATTTAAAGCAGTCAGCCTGAACAATGAGAAAACCTGAAACAGAGGCTCTCTTGCCTATTTTTGAAAGTAGGCTTGCTAAAATGCAAAACCAGTTGTTTTTATGTACTTCACTGTGAGAAGTGTGCCATAAAGATCTGCTGCACAAAACAATTCAGTCTTGTCTCTTATTTATTTCTAAATGGGTTTTGTGTGACTTTTACACAAAAAAGGCTTGTGAAGGGTTGAAATTTCAGTTATCTTCAGTGTTTCCCACACATACCTCGGAGGGCCGCTCAAGTATATTTATGACCTGTTTTTATTTATTTTTTATTTATTCTTAAAATAACCGTATAACCACTCATAACCGAGTGTGAAGTCCTCACTGAGCCCTAAACGGTTCCGTGCAACATAACAAAGCTCCCGTTAAAAAATGTTTCCCTCACGACTCCTGCAAAGAGATAAGACGCGGCAAAACCAAGAGAGCAGGATCACATCAGCTTCAGAGTTAGAGAAGGTCAACTGTCTGTAAATGCACCTCTAAGATGCCTTGGTCCAATCAAAACTAAAGCTTCTCATGGCTTTGTTTTAATAATGTTAATGTACTTAATGATAATGGACTATCAAGTGGAACTTTTCAAAACTTGAGGCGACTCCTGGTGTTTGTGTCTGTGTGCGTGCATTGATAAGATGAGAAGATTAAAGTTGTTTGTTGCAAAAACTAAATAATTTAGAGGGGAAAACGTATTTGATATAAATACAAACATAATATTAATACCCTAAGTTAAGTAAAGTATTAGTAGAGGAACAAACCCCCAAAAAAGGCTTTAGTTTCGAGATACCCCTACCCGAGGTAGAACAAAGCACGACCATATTTTTTCATAACTTGAACATGTCTAGTTTATGAAACGGATTGTTGTATAAAACTATTTTACTGCAAAATAACTTTTTTGGGATGTTTTATGCATCTTACCAAAAAACGAAAACAGGTCAAATTAGGGCTTGTCCAAAAGGGACAGCTCTAGCCTTATCACATGTATCTCTGGGAATCGGAATCAGAATTTCACCAAATCTGGACAGGATGTTCACAGATAGTTATTAGTTACAATTATGCAAAGTTTTTATCAATACCATTTTAAATTTTTGAATTTTTCACACTTAAACACACATGTAGTTTAGGCGGAAATTGAAAATTGAAACAAAAATTCAAAAGGTATGTATATCAAAGTCTGTCATTTTTTAATTAAGGACACCAAACATTAAAATATGTCATTTGTATCTTCTTTAGACTGTTATCTCAACATAAAAGCAAGTTATTTGACTTTTCACTTGACCCTATGCTGTCACCAGCCCCTAACAGGAAACTAGTGCAGCCAGGATTTCAGGGCGACCTGGTACAATGGGGCCCTATTGTATTGAGTCAAAAAGTTAACTTCGGACCCTATACTCCAGTCATCTGTGAGACCGGCTGAATTTCTTGTTGGCATTTGGCATTCTACTGAGTTAAAGAGCTAACCTTAGCACTAATCAGGGAGTGACTGATTACCCCCCCCCCCCCCAAAAAAAAACAATGATTTTTGGAAGTTATGAATTGATTAGAAGAGATGGATCTTTATTTTTACATACATACATTTTTTTCCCCATCTCTAGTGTGGAACATGCCAGTCCCAGCTCATTCCAGAAAACAACTTTTTGCTGTACAGCAAACCCGTTTTTCTCAAAATCAAATGGTAAATGGACAATCAGAAGTAATTAATCATATTCAAATGCATAAATACGCTGCCGACGACACAGTGGAAGCAAATGGCGGTTAGGGGTCTTGCCCATGGACCAATCAGACATGTTGCTGCAGGAGCTGGGGATCAAACCCCCAACCTTCTTGTTGAGAGACAACCGACTCTACCAACTGAGCCACTGGTTGAAATGGGGCAATAAAAACTACTGTTCATTGATGCAGAGTTGCTATAATAAAGACTGTTGTTCTTAAGGCTGTTGTGGTGAAGGAATTTTCAACACGGTGAGAGAGAGAGAGCTTATATGCTACATGGACCTCACTGAGTTCAGGGCAAGATGAGCCGATTTTCACATTAAGTAAGTACTCAATCCGCCGTTATGTATTCTGTAGCCAAATCGTACTGTACAGGTTTTAAACAAACATAATGTTTTGGTTATAACTGTTGCAAAGATATCTTAAACATACTACAGCCAGGTAAAAATAACCAAATTAACTTTGAAGAGAAC